CTTTCATTTGTGAGTAAACAGTATTTTAACATTGCTTTCATTTGTGATGTTGACAGTAATTTAACATTGCTTTCATTTGTGATGTTAACAGTATTTTAACATTGCTCTCATTTGTGATGTTAACAGTATTTTAACATTGCTCTCATTTGTGATGTAAACAGTATTTTAGCATTGCTTCCATTTGTGAGTAAACAGTATTTTAACATTGCTTCCATTTATGAGTAAACAGTATTTTAACATTGCTTTCATTTGTGATGTAAACAGTATTTTAACACTGCTTTCATTTGTGCTGTTAACAGTATTTTAACATTGCTCTCATTTGTGATGTAAACAGTATTTTAACATTCCTCTCATTTGTGATGTAAACAGTATTTTAACATTGCTTTCATTTGTGATGTAAACAGTATTTTAACATTGCTTTCCTTGTGAGTAAACAGTATTTTAACATTGCTTCCATTTGTGAAACAGTATTTTAACATTGCTTTTATTTGTGATGTCAACAGTATTTTAACACTGCTTTCATTTGTGACTAAACAGTATTTGAACATTGCTTCCATTTGTGAGTAAACAGTATTTTAAAATTGCTTTCATATATAGTGTAAACAGTGTTTCATCATAGTCTTCTGTTGTGTAAACAACCTTTTTAGGCTTTCACTTGATATAAAGATTTGTTTATATTTTTATATCTGTATGTTTTAACATATAGACACGCTTAAAGTATAATGGTCGAAATCAGTGCGATTATGTTCCAGCTGACGAAGGATGTAGGTCTTAAATCTGTTGGTTTGAACAAGATACCCTTATTTCACTGATATCGCATACATTAAAACAGACAAAAGGCGAGATATGCCAAAGTGCAGAATGAAAGATTCAGTATATAAAATAAAATAACGATTGGATCTGAAGTTAAACAGTCACTTGTGTAAGGAAAGAATTTTCCTTTTAGTCACAACGTATAGAGTCTATAATCTAACTCCAAAAACCCTTATCCTTCTTCACTTAAAGCGCGTTTTCAGTCACATGGCTTGTCAGGTTTGTTATCACATCTTAAGTGAACCGATGATAAAAACTGAAACTTCATCTGTTTTTTAACAAAGAAATCTTGAATTTTTCCCCTCGTGAGCATCCAAGTACATGAAACGCACTATCGCTTATGAAACACTAAAATGGCTAAATGAAACATTATATCGACATGGAGCGCTATCACTGCCGTATTAATGATAAAGAAAATGAAATGATTTGATGTTTGTTTATCAACAAGCGCGACTGGTTAAAAGCGATCCCAACTCGTCAGACTGAAAGATCTGGACATAGGTACACTTAGTGCTCTCACAGTTATCGCGATGTTTTGTTTCGATAACTCTCCATGGAGCGAGATGACAACGTGATAACACGAGATGTGATAAGCCCTACTCAAAACTGACTTTATCGGATGTAGGTGCTAACGTTTCGTACTACGCCCACTGTTAGCTCCGCTTCTCCAAGACCCCACTGAGCATGCGCGATAGCAGATGCGTAGAACTGATTTCTAAATCTCATAGATTCTACCGCCTCAGCTTATGTTGGTATTGCGGGATATGATAAGCACATCCTAAAATTCCTTTTTTCGTAGGCACCACCGTGCAGGCTTGGTCTGAGAAATTCTAAATTGAATCCCTTATCACCGAGACTGATATGTTATCTTGACAATAGAAGAACAGCGTATCAGTTTCATACACCATTACGATAACGCCGATAGGTGTCAAAGACATGGTCTGTTACCATGGAAACGTCATTTACAAGATGGTGATAACACACATCATTCACATCAGAAACACTTGATCGGAGTTAGGCAAGTGCAAAGGTTCGGCAATATTAACTTTACGTTGATGACTGACACTGGGCAAAGGCGAGGGCAGGACCTTCACCATTGCTGTCAACTTAGCGTTATCGGCAAACTTCTCAACATTAACCTCTGACACCCCCTGCGTGACTTCTTCTTCTCTCTGCTGACACATGGTCATACATTTGGATCATTATGAAATCGACACTTCCAAAAATTAGTAAATGCTTCAGATGTTGCAATACGTCAAAATAGATTAAAAAAATGTTATAACGTCAACCCTAGAGGACAACCAGTGGTGGTCAAGGCGACGAAAAAAAACTTCATTGGGAGTAACTGTAAAAGGCAAAATAGCGGTGAAAACTATATGAATGGATCACTGGAAATATATATAAGACACCAGGTGTTCGCCAAAAGGGTAATCATGTACTTCCTTACTGGTAGCACCCGCCACGCACACAATTTGCATAAAAAAAGTATGTGTTTGTTGCCTGACAACGCACAGCCAAACTCATACCATGCGACGGTGACTTGTAAACCACGTCTAATCTCGTCATATCACGTCATTTCGCCAACTCACTTTACGTCAACAATGTATGATACCAAACGTATACTTCAAGAAATCCTGAGTTTTAGGACGGCACTGACAGTGAGTTGGATTTTATCACCGCTGTAAACAGGAGTTCGGTTATATCAGTTGTGTCAGGTTAATGTGCCCAGGTTGTAGATAGCTATACGACTTTGATTAAGTGAATGATTTTCTTTAACGCCGCTTTGAAATATATACTACTCAAAAGAATTTAAAGAAAACCCGATCTTTCCTATTACTATAGTTAGTGTGTCATGGCAGATTAACTATTGTAATACGAGTGAGTATGGATTTACGCCGCTTTTAGCAATATTCCAGCCATATCACGGCGGGGGACACCAGAAATGGGCTTCACACATTGTACCCATGTCGGGAATCGAACCCGGGTCTTCGGCGTGACGTGCGAACGCTTTAACCACTAGGCTACCCGACCGCCCCTATTGTAATATGAAAGAATCGGATTTTCTTTAAGTTCTTTTGAGTAGTGTATGTATCTGTCAATTTTTTTATCATTGTGAAAGTAAACGCAAGCATGACGTGAATATTTACCATTGTGATTAAGGCAACGAGTACGGGTATTTGATGGATAAGAATATCTGATCAGAAGATCCTTGTTCGACTCAGGGTTGCACAACGAACTGCCCCCCTCCGCTATGATAAATGACCAGTCTATTTGATGGATAAGAATATCTGATCAGAAGATTCTTGTTCGATTAAGGGTTGCACAACGAACTGTCCCCCTCTCCTATAATAAATGACCAGTCCCTTAGACCGCTGTGCCTTCACATATATGCAAACGAGCAAAATTAACATGACTTACATGCCGTTTTGTGATTGATATAATTCGTATTAAAAAGGGTGGACTTCACGCGTTGTGTCCATATAAATAGAACCCGGGGCTTCCGCGTGACCAACGAGCACCGTATCCAAAAGGCTACCCCACCGCCCGTATCATCTCCCCGAGACAAGAGTGAGTGAGTGAGTATGGTTTTACGCCGCTTTTAGCAATATTCCAGCAATATCACGGCTGGGGGCACCAGAAATGGGCTCCACACATTGTACCCATGTCGGGAATCGAACCCGGGTCTTCGGCGTGACGAGCGAACGCTTTAACCACTAGGCTACCCGACAGCCCCCCGAAACAAGAGAGTTAACTTACTTTAAAAGTCCAGTTTCCACCCTTGCCGAAATAGACTGGAATTCCTGGGCTCGGTCGTAGCGCCACCAGTGGTTATTACGAGTTATGTCCCTTCTAAACCTCTGCTATGGACCAATCAGACTCCACCACTCGTATCACTTGCATTTGATTCAAACAAATCTGATCGATAATCAAGATCTATATGGTGATAAAACGGGTCTTACATCGCGAAGTGCATCAACTCATGCGAGCACCTTGATTAAAATCATGAACAGATTTGGAAAATATCTGTTGACAAGGGGTTGGCGGTGCACATGCTTTGCAAATCCTGCAATCGATCGAAATCTGCAGGACAGTTTACAAACCGGATTTCGATTTCGTTGCGCGATTTTGATTGGACTATGCATAGACACGTTAGCCCAACCGAAATCTAACTCCATATTACCAGCCTATTTCTGCAAGGGTGGAAACTGGACTTTTATTGTTAGTTAACTCCCTTGCCTCGGGAAGATGCGCCCGTATATAAGTAATGAACACTGACATTGTTTATAACGATAGTGCGACTAAGGAACATTATTTTCAACTACCGTCCACGCGATAGGGAACGACACACCGTCTATCTGCGACCAAGATTGTAACACATGTATACATATGTATTTTTCATCAAAAGATTTAAAGGGTAAAGATATTGTTTTCATCATATTTATTGTCGAAAAGGCATATTAATCAGACACAAGTTGTGAAACTTACATGGTGTTCTCAAGTTTACCCAATATAATTCATGAGCCTATACCGATAGTTAAAGGTAGAAGGTTAAACAAATCAATGCTACAGCTCAGATTACAAGGTTTTACAAATTAGGGTCGTACGGTAGGAAATAATTTGTTACATATGTTTCTGAACGAACGTATGACTACAAACACAGAGTCACACTCCGGCGCAGTGGTGACTCAGCATAACACCACTGCCACAGGCAAATTTGCATATCACTTGACCGGACTTTTCTCTTGTTTGTAAACAAACGCGCTTTTTCAGAAATCAGTATAGAACGGACTAACGGACATGTTGTATTGCATAATTATAGGGATAAACTACTACATCTGCGACAGTGAGTTGCATGACAATATATATTTATACATCAAAGTGACCGTATCGCTCGCTCTCCGTTGGGCTTCGATGTGGGCATTTATTTTGTTGGGTAAAACATGCCATCCATTCTCTCCAGGTGAAGTCTTTGATGAGGGAGAGAGCCATTCATCGTTCAATATATTTGATTTAGTGTCAAAATCAACCAAAGCGCGACAATTGGAAAATGCGACAATGTCCTTTCTAGGATTCCATAAGTGAGTGAGTCGGGTTTTAGTAATATTCCAGCCGTATCAATGCAGAAAACAATGACGCTGGCCTTTACGCATTGTACCTTGTGGGGATTTTATACCGGTGTAAAATACTCACAGTCCGATAGGATCCATTGTCAATGGCTCCTCGTAACTAACGTCCACGGACAATGGTTCCTCATATCTAACGTCATAGGACAATGGTTCCTCGTATCTAACGTCATAGGACAATGGTTCCTCGTAACTAACGTCCTTGGACAATGGTTCCTCGCAACGGAACTCCTTGGACAATGGCTCCTCGTAACTAACGTCCTTGGACAATGGTTCCTCGTAACTAACGTCCTTGGACAATGGTTCCTCGTAACTAACGTCCTTGGACAATGGTTCCTCGTAACTAACGTCCTTGGACAATGGTTCCTCGTAACTAACGTCCTTGGACAATGGCTCCTCGTAACTAACGTCCTTGGACAATGGTTCCTCGTAACTAACGTCCTTGGACAATGGTTCCTCGTAACTAACGTCCTTGGACAATGGCTCCTCGTAACGAACGTCCTCGGACAATGGTTCCTCGTATCTAACGTCCTTGGACAATGGTTCCTCGTAACTAACGTCCTTGGACAATGGTTCCTCGTACCTAACGTCCTCGGACAATGGTTCCTCGTAAATGAACTCCTTGAACCATGGTGCCTCGTATCTAACGTCCTCGGACATTGGTTCCTTGTAACTGAAGTCCTAGGAAAATGTTTTCTTGTAGCTAACGTCCTTGGACAATGGTGCCTCGTAGCTAACGTCATAGGACAATGGTTACTCGTATCTAAGGTCCTGGGACAATGGTTTCTTGTAGCTTACGTCCTAGGACAATGGTGTCTCGTACCTGACGTCCGAGGACAATGGTTCATCGTATCTAAGGTTCTAGGACAATGGTTCCACGTAACTAAAGTCCTAAGACAATGGTTCCTCGTAACCAAAGTCCTAGGACAATGGTTCCTCGTAACTAAAGTCATTGGACAATGGTTCCTCGTAACTAAAGCCCTAGGACAATGGTTCCTCGTAACTAAAGTCATTGGACAATGGTTCCACGTAACTAAAATCCTAGGACAATGGTTCCTCGTAACTAACGTCCTTGGACAGTGGTTCCTCGTAACTAACGTCCTTGGACAATGGCTCCTCGTAACGAACGTCCTCGGACAATGGTTCCTCGTATCTAACGTCCTTGGACAATGGTTCCTCGTAACTAACGTCTTTTGACAATGGTTCTTCGTACCTAACGTCCTCGGACAATGGTTCCACGTAACTAAAGTCCTAAGACAATGGTTCCTCGTAACCAAAGTCCTAGGACAATGGTTCCTCGTAACTAAAGTCATTGGACAATTGTTCCTCGTAACTAAAGCCCTAGGACAATGGTTCCTCGTAACTAAAGTCTTTGGAAAATGGTTCCACGTAACTAAAATCCTAGGACAATGGTTCCTCGTAACTAACGTATTAGGACAATGGTTCCTCGTAACTAACGTATTAGGACAATGGTTCCAACGCCCTTTCGCCGGTCCTTGATTCCTAACACATTGCGACTAGAGTCTTGGTTACTAAGCGGACAGAGTATCCTGCCACAGTAGACCTTTATAAATTGGTGTCCGTAAGTATGTGTAGTCCGATGTTAATGTACTGAGCCGGTAAGCAAGTGCTGATCAAATTTACCACGATTACCATCGCTGCCCCACTGGTGCCGAGAAAGCCTTATGACGAAGTAACAATGGTTTATGATGGCTTGTTGTCTTTGTCGAGAGTCCGATTTCAATGTTTGTGGATGTGTCATGGACTTTATTTTTATACGATAACTTGGTGACTTAGTTTGAAGTAATGGCAAAATAAACCAAAATGGCATCAACAGCATATTTATGACTTAAAGTTCAATGTGCAATTATTATCAGTGACATTTTGTTTCAGGATACATGATGATGATGATGATGATGATGATGATGATGGTGATTGTTGTTGTTGATGATGATTGTTGTTGTTTTTGTTGTTGATAATGATTGTTGTTGATTTTGTTTTTGTTGTTGTTTTGATGATGATGAAGAAGATGATGATGACGATGATGATGATGATGATGATGACGACGATACTACAAACATTTTCCTAAATCACTGTGTATATATGATACACATACATTATATGATCGAACATCTTCGTCAGCATTCGTTTCAGTCGTTTATTCATTCATGAATTCGTTTACCTTTATAATCTTTGTCGTGAAAGAGTACACAGTCGCATCGTGTGCAGGAAGTCATAAAGTACAGGACCACCGAAGTGATGCCTTGCTGTAAAGGGGAACTAAGAGATCAATAAGTTGACTGCGTATAACGGCAGCAGGCTTTAGGTACATCGACCTTTTAATCAGGGGTGTGTGAGCTTGTTTAAGACAGTTATATCGTGCAGTATATAAATAAAATATTAATATCAATATTATCCAGAGCTTCAAGGCATATATTATGACACTCTGAAAGGTGGACCCAGACATTTTTAACAACACAATATTATTCACAACATCCAGCATGGCCAGTGAAAGATTTATATTGATTAATATTTTTTAAATCTGGGGACAAAAATATTTTTTTCAGCATTTTCGGAAACAGATTATCGTTTACAAAAGACAAATATCATAGCGATCAGATAAGGCCTTGAATACGCATGTATGGATCATGGTGTTAGAAAGGTCAAACTTTTTATGTCTATATCACTAAGGAGGTAAAGATTGTCTTCAGCAAATGTGGATAGAAAAAGTTTATCATATAATGGGTAGGTTTCTTGGAAGGATAAAACCTACGGATAAAAACGATATCCGTTGGGGTCATATGCGGATAGAGATGCAAATATCAAAGGTCAAGTAGGGACTACTTTCAGTGTTTATAAACAAACATGGCGTCGCCCTTGTCTAACTGTGACGTCGCTAAGGCATTTTATAAGTTTGGGCAACTTTGGAGATATAAATTTCGAAACAATTTTGCAAAGGCACTAGGCCTAGCCAAGCGGGATCAGTAGCAATATCTGTGCTTGTAGACCTCTGCGGCTTGAAACCTTCTCCACAAATTAAAATAGTTGGATTTGGCCGAGATATGTTTGAATTGTTACCTTGTTTCGTTTTGTCGCTGTGTGTACATCCGATTGCACTTCTTAACGTTATGACAGGACAGACCGACTGTCAACAACGTCTGAACGCAATCTCATTAAAATCAGATCTAATTCTCGCTACCGCTAAACAAAGCGAGAACCAAGATCTGATTTTAATGAGATTGGTCTGAACGTGGCCGTGACGTCCCATAGACTAGGGACAGAGTAGCTTCCCTTTGTCAAAGGGCAGTTACTCTGGCGGACAGACCGATGGATTGCCGCGAAATGCAAGTAAAAACAATTGTTGTTTTGCGTATATGTTGCTTCGTCACCGTATGTGAACAGATTTCAGTTGGAACTATATTGTCTACTGTCACTGTCCGACTGACACATCACTTATCCTGTGACGTAATAAATATTAATGCGCGCATTCCAGGAAAACTCGCAATGTTTAGGTAATGTTTGTGAGAGAGGGAAAGCGATTTTCAAGCACAGAATGATAGAATGACATTATATGATAAAGAGATTATCACGCTTGTGTGTTTAGGGATGGTAAATATCCTGTATTAGGAATAAACACTTTGTATTTAGCTCGCCAAGGCTCGCTAAATATAAAGTTTATTCCTAATGCAGGATATTTACCATCCCCAAACACACTCGCGTGATAACCTCTATTTACATCATATCCAAATATCAATTTGTGTTGCATATTTATGTCACCCTCAAATGTTACATTATTACACAATGTTACTCGTGCATACATCGTGCATTGTTTGTTAGAAGAAACACGCATGCCTTGTAATTCCGTTCTTTGTAATTTGTGATGATAACAATTTTAATACCGACAGACAATTCCTTGTCCTGCAACATCACTGCGGAATGGCTGCAATAATTATTTTCAGCAAAACCAAGCTAGATTATTAAAATAGGCAAGTCTGGCTAGCTTATTCCAACGTTAGTATTAAACCAGAATTGAAACTTTGTTTTTAGATAAATGAAATGTGTAAATAAAAGCGACAAAACCCTTTCTATATTCATAAGAAATCTCCGCGCTGAGTCGACTGAGACAAGACTGAGACAAGCCGTAAATACCATCTTAGGTTCTAAATTTCATTCCTAATGGCGATACTCTAATCAGGGGCGGTCTGGTAGCCCAGTGGTTAAAGCGTTCGCTCGTCACCCCGAAGACCCGGGTTCGATTCCAGACACGGGTACAATGTGTGAAGCCCATTTCTGGTGTCCCCCGCAGTGATATTGCTGGAATTTTGCTAAAAGCGGCGTAAAACCATACTCACTCACTCACCCCATCGCCCAACCTCGACCCTTTCTGAAACGGAAAAGGAGTCTATTTTCTTGGAAAATGGCCGATCCTGTTCCGATTGACTACAAATCCCTGTGCTTTCACTAAAACCTGGCCACGATACAGTGTTAGTTTTTTTGCCGTGGGCACTGATACCTCAGATTTAGTAGTCCTGTGTCATTGTTACCAAGGACGAAATATCCTAGGACAATGAACGATGGGTCTCATTGACCGGAACGTCGAATCCTAGGATACAATGTCCGGTGGAGAGTTTGCAGGTCCCTGGTATCTCTGACTCTGGCACTTTATTACCCCTAGCATAAGACCCGATACATTTCACTTTTAACTGACTTTTTGACATTTAAAAGAGAGGAGCCCAGAGAATTTCTTCATTTATTACCGAACTGGAGAAATCTAGGCTTTCCAAGGAGGTATAGACTTGCTTGGGAGTTTTCGGAGTTTTGATTTTTGTTTCAGGGTCTGTATGAGACACGTCCGTGGCTATCACAATCAACTGTAATATTCTATGACTTTTCTATGCACTTCAAAGGAGGAAATGGTTTATTTGGACGTGGAAACAGCAAATCAGAGGAAGTCACTTAAACGTTGTCTCGGAGGCCTCTCAACCAAGAGGCATAATAATTATCGCACTCGACGGACCCTGCGCTGTGTGTCTGCGAGTAAGAACTGCGGGGGTGGCAACATAACGGTTATTTAAAGACGTAACGGCGATAGTGATTCTTATTTTTGTCTGATCACCAAATGATTTAGGCAGTCTTCAAACATTATACCTACACCAGATATACAAGTCTGCGGTTACTATCGTAGGAGATGAACTGACACAGTATGAAGCTTGCGACACGACAAATAACAATTTTGTCGAAGTTAGCATCAACTCGCAAATGGATTACGCCGTAGATATTACCCACAGGAACTAACCACTTGTGTAGGTCCGATTTGATCTGCCACTAGAGGGCGCGTTCCATGGCGCATAATCTCTGCCCGGCACCGTGGCATCCCGACTAATGTGATGCAATACCAACTCGATACCGATCCGGGACAAGCCGGAAAGATGCGAGTGGTGACGAATGAATGTGATCCGCGACGTTCATTCGTGACCAACTCGTGTTATTCCGGGACAAGCCGAATAGCTCTTCTTGCAGGTTACGGAAAGGGGCGAGTGATCACAAATGCCGCGACGTTCTAGTCTTCGGCATCCGGATTTAGCCGAAGGTGGGATATGAGCTAAATCCGTAAACACTCGCGTTTCCGGGAAAATACATTTCTTTTCAATACGTTTGTG